GGCAGAGATCTTTATCACTGGAATAATTCTTGGTGGTTATTTAGCTATGATGACAGTCATTTTCTTTTGGGCAGCATATAAAACAGATTTTTTCCCTGTAAGAAACATTTTTTCATCAACTTAAGTGTATCATGTTTGCTAACCAATAATCCATATCATTTGTATAATATCTACTGCTTTTTGAGTCACTAACATTGCTCAAATTCTGGTATTAATTCTCCTTGGAAATATTCAGCAAACATTTGGAGTCACAAGCCTTCAGAAAAAGGATAGGGATGACTATAGAAAGCTTGCATCAGCAATATACCTACAAGTAAGCACAATTAGTCAGGCCCTCATATTCGTTACACGAGCACGAAGTTGGTCTTATGTTGAGCGTCCGGGTTTGTTACTAGTAGCAGCTTTTGTTATCGCCCAACTAGTGAGTGAAATCAACACAATACTACTTTTTTACCTTTTTAGCATATTTACATTGTAAATATGATAGTAAGATAATAAGTTGACCATATGCTTTGATGGAGCAGATAGCTACCCTAATAGCAGTTTATGCAAATTGGAGTTTTGCTGCTATTGAAGGAATTGGATGGGGTTGGGCTGGTATTGTTTGGCTTTATAACCTCATCTTTTACATGCCACTTGACTTTATCAAGTTCATAATTCGGTATGCCTTGAGTGGAAGGGCTTGGGATCTTGTTATTGAACAAAGGGTATGTGTTCTCTCTCAGTTGAAAAGACTAATTCAACATTTGAACCTGTGCTTACTTTCCAGTGTGGAATCTTTGTCAGATTGCTTTTACAAGGAAAAAGAATTTCGGAAGAGAAGAACGTGAGCTTAAATGGGCACATGCACAGAGAACACTCCATGGCCTTCATCCACCAGAGACTAAGATGTTCGGTGAACGAACAACTTACACGGAACTTAATCAGATGGCTGAAGAGGCTAAAAGACGAGCAGAGATTGCAAGGTATGAATCCATGTGTATCTATGATGATATGGTCTTATGAGGTCTTCTATATATGCATACCCTCTCACATGTTATACATATTACCCCAAGTGAATTTTTGCTGATAATATGCACCTCAGAGCCATTTTACAACTTGTTTACACTTATAACATAATTACTTTGTACAAGAGTTTGGAAGAGCTTATGAAAAAACCTTATGATATTTTACTTCTCTGGGAACTTAAAACTATTGTGGTGGTTGCCACATTCTATACTTCAAAAGAAATTGGAGTTTACAGCAAGCATCCACTCACTTGATATTAAGTTGCTTTAACCAATTTTGCATTCATGATTTGCCAATACACTTAATCAATTTCCTAAGTCAAGTTGTTAAACATGTAAATGGTATAGATTCAAACATGCAAGATCAACATGAAGGGAAAGCTATGGTTGGAAATCTTGTCATGAATAATTGCATATCTAACTTGTCATGCATTTTTCTTAGCCAGTTCCTCAGTCTTATCTTATGGTGTTCTCTCGCTCTCTCTCAATCTAAAATTGTTTACCTGTATAGTATAGCAACTATTGTTTCCTTGTATTGTTGTTATTATGATTTTTGTTTGAAAGTAAATGTGAAGAATCTTTCAACTTTTTGCACATACGCTTGTATCACATTTTATTCTTCTTTGTTTTCTCTTTGCAGACTGAGAGAACTGCATACATTGAAGGGCCATGTTGAGTCTGTGGTTAGGCTGAAGGGCCTTGACATTGATACAATACAGCAATCATACACTGTCTAGAATATAGAGTTTTATGCATGAATCATATATGTATAATGGACTACCTAGCAGTTTGAGCATAGAGCAGCTACAAACGCATCCTGTTTTTGTTGACATGAAATTATTAATAGCATTTTCAGAGTTTTGTTTATGCTTACAAATAGTACTGAGTTTAGTCTTCTTAAACAAGTTTTTGATTGATAACATTGGTGGATATTCTTTATCATGATTAAAATAAAATATATTTTCTTATTTTTTACTGTATATTAAAACCATAAGTACATGATTTGTCTCTATTTTCTCAGTTTTTACTGTATAAATTTTTTGTATCTCATTACAATTATAAAATCTAACGAGTATTCCTAAAATAGTTTCGGTTTGTCTTTTTTAATAACTCTCAATGTCACTTCTTTGAAATAAAGTTTTAAGCATGGGTTTGGAATTTTAATAAGGAACTTCTTGTCATTTTTCTGAACTTGTTACTTGTTGGATTGTTCTCATTGAATCCTTGTACATTACAACATTCTTGTCTTATTTAAAATGATTAAATATTTGATCACTTAAATTTAAAATTTGACTGTAAATTTTGTTGAAGATATAGAAATCATTGATCGTTTTCATGTAGAACCCAACGAAAAATCGTTGTAGACTTACAAAGTCGTTACGAGCGACAACCTAGCATTTATGGAAAAGAATTATTATCTGAATTTTAGGAGAAATTTCATGTTTCTAACTTGGTGAGGTCAAAGTGAAAAAAAAAAAACTTATGCAAAAAGATGCATTGGATAAGATAGTACGATTATGGATGACAATTAAATGCGTACTTCTTTGGATTGATTTGTTTTCGTCTCGAGTTTGACTGTGAAAAACTTAAGTTCATCGGGAGTGAGGGACGGGGATAGATAATGCAATTCCCACCCCGACCCTGTCCCCGTCCCAACTTTATATTTAAATTTAAATTTTAAAATATTAATATTTTAAAAGTATTTCTTTTTCTTTTTTTATTACATATACGGTCATTTTTTTATATTTCATCAATTTTTATTTTTCTCCTACCCACTTTTTAATTTTTTTTGTCTTTTTTTAATCTTTTATATCAATTAATTTATTACATTATTCTCTCTTATCTTTTAGTTTTTCATATTTCCTTCATTTCTCCCATCAATTTTTTTTTTCAATCTTTTCAACCAATTTGATGAACAAAAAGTTAATTTTTTTTTCTTTATCTTTTTCTATATATTTTACATAAATCTTAGTAATAACTAATATTATTTTATTTATAATTTATATTTATTAGATTTTATTATATCATATTTTTTTATCTTATTATTCTTATTTATCATCTATCAAATTTTATCTTAATAAAATAATTGTATTTTAAAGGATTAAAAAAATTGATAATTTAAACTTTTATTACTTCAAATTAATTAAATAAGAATTAACTTATTAAATATTTCCTTATAAACTATATATTTCATATTTTGAAATGACAACTTATAAATGAATTAACTTTATTTATATATATATATATATATATACTCAAATGTTTGAATACAATATTATAAATGTTTGAATACAATATTATAATAATAATGTTATAAGTATTCAAATATTTGAATATAGTGTTATAATAATAATAATAATAATAATAATAATAATGTTAATATTATAAATATTCTATATATATATATATATAAATAAATAATGATTAAATATTTCTTTTATATACATATTTTAATATAAATATAATAAATTAAAATATATATTTAATTAATAATTATTATAAATTATAAAATTATAAATATTTATTTATATATAAAAAATACATAATAAAATTAATTTATTATAAATATAATTATCTTTTTAAAAATAATATAGATCCATGATGGGACGAGGTGAGAACCCGAAATTCAAGTATGGACGAAGATGAAAACTTAATTTCTGACCCCAACCGAAATCAAGAGTGGGAACATGGATCAGTCCCACCTCATCCCATTGTCATGCCTACTGTTACAACAACACCATTGACTTTTAATTTGTACATTACTAAGATACAACCTTTCCAATAATCAAGATTGTTTCTTTATTTCCAATGAGAAAAAAAAGTTATGTTGTCATTCAGACAGAAATCAACATGTATATTAAATTTATTATTTTTTATAAAAAATACTTAAATGTTTAAAATAAATAATATCATCGTAAATATGATATTATATTATTCAAAATATTATATATTAAAACATAAAATTCAGTATTAATATATTGCTTCAAAAAAATCTTTTGTTTCAAAATAATACATGACAAATAACTAAGTTTGGAACAATGTAAAGTATAAGACAAAGCAATTGAAATAATATAGCACAAAGCCAGATTTTAGGCTTTCGTGATATTATTTTTTATAATATTTTAATTACTATTTTAAAAATTAGACCCAAATTTATTCAACCAGTTAATTAAGAACCGATTTAAAAATTGTTCATTATTTTTAAATAATTAAATTTTAATTAAATTAAAATAAAATTGATATAATAAAAAAATCAATTAATAAAAAAATTAAGACCAATTTTTTTTAATATGATTTTTTTATAAAAAATATAATATATTCTAATTTTTTTATTTCATAATAATTATTATCTTAATAATTATCTATATTATATTTTCTAATATATTTTATATTTGTAATCTTTTATTATAATTTATATAATTATGACAATAATTTTATTATTTTTCTTCCTTTTATAAAAAAATATTCTTATTGAAAAATGTATTAATATTTATTATATTATAAAAATATCATTTTATTAAATTTAGTTATATATATATATATATATAATATTTATATCTTCATTTCACATGTTCAAATTTTAAAAAAATATTTTTAACTTATTATTAATACATTATTGTTAATGTACTCTTCATAAATAAGTAAAATTTATTAAAAATTATAAAATTAGTAGTTTCATTTTTTATTAAATAAATTACAATTTTATGTTCCTAATAATTTTTAATTGAAATTTGAGAATATATTAAAAGACATATGAGACTAGTGATCTTCATGTTTTATTAGTTTAATACAATTTCAATGTCATAGTTCTACTCGTTACTTCACTTTAAGCTTTATGATGTTGGATCCTTGCTTAAATTTATTAAGCTTACATTGTATTGTGAGAAAAGAGAGACAATAAAATTTAAGTGACTCCTTTAATTGAATTAATGATGATAAACTTTTTGATAGTAGTATTTAATTTCATGAATAAAAGAAAAGTTTTATTTTTTATCATGAGAAACTTAATATTTTAGTATTCACCACACTGTTGTCGTTCCTTGGTCTAACGAGCTTCCTTGCATTCATGATGGCGGCGTGCAGGATAAGTTGAGTTGTCACATAGCGTCTCCCCAGACCCAAAAACATCAACATTATCGGGCCAAACGACTGTTCCTTTTTCGCAACAAAGTTACTCTCCCCGCTCCACGCGCTCAACAGCAACGCGCTGCCACCTATCACCACCCACAAGAAGCACATACTGTCAGGGAGCGTTAAAACGGACCAGAACGAACACGCCAATGCAAATATGGTGGCGTTGAGAAGCGCCCAGAGGAAGAGCCTGAAGTGGATGGCACGCGCCGAGGGAGCAGGTGGGAGAGGGGCGAAGTCGACGGAAAAGTAAAATACATATATGAAGGAGGTGAAGAAGAGCATTGGGGTGTCATTGTGGATGTAAGCAAGGTAAATTATGAAGGAGGTGCTGATTGTGGTGGCGAGGAACCCTAGGATGTAGAGTGGGTTCACGTGGAGGGGTGGTGCGTGGAACTCACCGGAGGTGTAGAATGGGAGGAGTGGTGGTGGTGAAGTCATTGTTTTGGTGTGATGTATGGACGTGATTTGTGTTTGTTGTGAATGAAGGAAAGGCAAAAGGGTTATCTTTATATGGAGAAATGAATTTGAGTTTGAAATGGAACAATGATGTGATGTTCGGGGTTCTCCGAAAATTCGAGTTCACCTTCCACTCAAAATTCATGGCTTTTTCATTTTATTTTATTTTTTTTATTTTTTTTATTTTTTCACAAGTACTTCGTCAGACGTGTAAAAGAAAAGAAAGAAAGTGAAAATTAGGTCGAAAAGAAAGGAAAGAAAATAAGAAGCCAGATTGGTTGAATGGAAAGAAAAATAATAGAAATTTAAGAAAAATTAGTAAAAAATTATAGAAAATAAGATTAATGTATTGAATAAAAAATTAAAATAATAACTATAATTATATATATATTATTAATATTCATTTATATATAATAAATATAATAATATTTTTTAACATAAACTATTACTTATATTATATAATCCATTATACAAATTTATTTAATCCATTTTCTCAAAATTTTATAACCCAGCTATTTGTAAAATTATATTCAAAACATAATTACATGGTTATATATATATATATAATAATAATAATAATAATAATAATAATAATAATAATAATAATAATTACCACAAGTTTAATTCAAAATAAAAATTAAATATAAATAAAACTGAGTATAAATAAATAAAATTGATGTGAAAATGACTTATGACAAGGGTTAGAGTAAGGGGAGCAAATGAAACTTTTCAACATGTATTGTTGGTTGACCAAATTGTGTTTTGGATTAATTCATTAATGGACTTTAGTTTGATTTATTGCAAGTTGTAATAACGACCCAATTGAAAATTTAGTCATCAGTATTTGGGAGATTAAGAATGTGTATAACTGATTGACTTTTGGATGCCACAATTTCAGTTACAATAAATCATTAAATAGTTTTCAATTCCTAGGTTAATGAATCATTATTAGCATTTATTTTCTTTTATTAAATATTTGTAATTCTAATGGAAAAACTTCTATATAGGCTGAACCATTCTTATAAAAAATAACAAGTGGAATTTTATTCAGAACTATTAGAGTTTATCTCTTTTATCTTAATGAAAATGATTCTTCTAAATTCTTAAGTGATTCAAGAACTCTTGATCAGTATCAAAGGACTTTCAACTCTGTAAATTGCATTCCTTGGAAGAAAGAGTGATTCTTTCATTCCACTTTATTCCTAAATTTCTTATAAGATTCTAACATTAAAGATCCTAAATCACCCCTTATGATTCATATGAAAAACTAACATATAATAAAAAAATAAGATTATATATTAATAGAAAAATTAAATATAAACTTATATATAATATAGACATATAATTATTAAGTAAAAAAATAAAAATATAATATTAGAAATTATAGATAAAAAATTATAAAATGAGATAATATATTTGATGATAACATAATCATAAATATGATGTAAATAATTTTTTATGCAAATATTTAGGTTCACAAATATTTTTTTTAAATTAATAAAAATCACTTAATCTAAATATAAACTTTTTCTTTAAATCTGTACCTCATATCTTTATAAACAGTAAAACTATGAATCCAATAAAGATTGAAAAGATAAAAGAAAATATTCTCATAATAACATCTAAAATATTATTTATATATTTGATACCTTTATTTTTTTTTACTTTTTATTAATTAATTCAATATTTTAATTATTTTTGAAAACATATTATTTTCGTATTTTTTATATCTAAATTTGATTTTTGGTAATTTTTCTTATAAATTCAACTATTTAAAAGCTGGAGATTTTTTTTTTGGATTAAAAAAATAGAAAGTAAAAAAAGACAAGAGGAAGGCTTATAATTAATTTGATTGATTTGAAATAATAATAAAAAATATTAATAAAATCATTTACTAAATTACTAAAATATTCTTACTTAAAATTTAATAAAAAAATTTAGGGTGATGTTATACTCATTACATTCTATTTTATTAATCATTGCATGTCATCCTCAGTGTTAGAAAATTGAATCCTTCATTCTATTTTATTTTCTCATCAACCTTTCCATCTCTTACCCCTCAAGTTTGTATGTCTACCTGCTTTATTCATAACTTTAGTTTTGGTTTAGATAAACTATCAGCTCAGTCTTACAAATGTGTCTTTTTAGGGTTCTCTTGATCTTAGAAAGGGTATAAGTGTTACTCACCCATCCTTCATCGCTATTTGATCTCAGATAATGTCACATTCATTGAGTCATCTCTCTACTTTGCATCTAATCCTCTTCCTTCTGGGTGTACCCTAGACCCTACCACCATCATCCCACTTGTCTTATATCCTATTATCGTGTCCAATGCACCACCTAATCCATCACCACCATCTCCTCTTTAGGAGTATTACAATCGGCAACGTCCACACCTTTCAGTAGGGCCACCTAGTGTCACCTCCTTTGTTCCTTTTGGCCTGTCACCTGAGTCTAATCTTCTCATTGCTCTTCGTAAAAGTATACGCTCTACTTAGAACCCTTCACCTCATTATATTGATATGACTTATAATTGATTGTCTCAATTCCTTTATACTTATCTTTCTTTTATTTATTTTGTGTTGATTTCTACAACTGTAGATGATATTTTAGCCTACCTTGGCTAAAGACAAAACATGCTTACTAAATTATGTGCTCTTTAGGATAGTGGAACTTGGGAGCTTATTCCTTTGCCCCCTTGGAAATCTATTGTTGATTATAGGTGGATCTTTACTGTCAAAGTTGGTCCTAATGACACTATTGATCAACTCAAAGTTTATTTGCTCGCCAAAGGTTATAATCATACATTTGGGTTAGACTATGGTGAGACCTTTTCTTTAGTTGCCAAAATGACTTTTTCTTGCTTATTCCTTGACACGAATACCCTTTTTCATTGACCCCTTTATCAATTAGATGTAAAAAGGCCTTCTTTCATGGTGATTTGGTAAAGCAAATTTGCATAGACCAACCTCTTAATTTTATTGCTCAGGGGGAATCTTCTAGAATGTTATGTCGCCTCTACAAATATTTATATGGTCTCAATTAGTCTATAAGGTCATGGTTTGGTAGATTTAGTGCGAAGGTCCAACAATCTCGCATGACTCGTAGTGAAGTAGATCATTCTGTATTTTATGGTCACGCAAATAATGGAAGCATCTACTCAGTATTGTATGTTGATGACATTATTCTTACAGATAGTAATCATCATGACATCTTACAAATAAAACAACATCTTTGTCATCATTTTCAAACAAAAGACATACATAAATTGAGATATTTCTTGGGGATTGATTAGTACAATCCAACAATGGAACTATCATTTTTCAAAGAAAGCCCTGCATTGGATATTTAAAAAAAAAATTCCTTAATGAACTCCAAGCCTATTGAGTCACTCATGGATCCAAATACAAGATTTCTACCTAGTGAGGAGGAGTCACTTCTTAATCATAAGAAATACATAAGGCTTGCTAAAAAATTGAACTATCTTATGTTAACTCGTCTTGACATCTCCTTTCCAATAAGTGAGGTAAGCTAGTTACTTAATTCACATTTTCAAGTATATTAAAGGTGCTCTAAGAAATGACTTTGTCAATGGTGTTTATGGCCCAATTCGCGGCAAATAAATTGAAATCACCTAAGTTAAATGACATGTTCGATGTCAAACAACAAAATGTTAAATCATTGAAGGACTATTTGCGATGATTCTGTAAAATAACAATGAAGATTTCACAGCCTGATGAAGGTATGATTACTGACACATTTGTGAAAGGGTTATGCTCGGGACTGTTTGAAGAATCGTTAATGTAGAGAACACCAATAGACATGTCCAAAGTGAGATTTCGGGTTGCATCACACATAAAATCCGAGAAAATAATGAGTCGAAAAAGAGCTGAGGAAAGGAAGTCAAGCCCTGATAAAAAAACCACAGGAGGAGGGGTGGAGAAAAAGTAACTGCCACTGAGACAGTGTGCGCTGATACAACAGACCTATATTCGAGCGGACGATGATACTTGTTAACCACCCCGAAGTGTGCAAATCCCTTCTAACATGTCAAACAAGTAGATATTGAAAGATGTCGATGTTGTAAGATTATTGGCCTATCAGAGGAAAGCTAGCCGACAATTAGACCTGAATCGGGACTCTTGGTGCGAAATTCAGCGAACTTGAAGATACAACATTGAAAAATGTTATGTTCTCATCCAACAGGTTGAAGAATTGATTCAGGAAGGGTGTTTACAACGTAGCGGGAGCTGGTAAAGAGACGAGCAATGAGAGTAGACAAAAATTAGTCCAATGACGAGCATGAGATGCCCATTCTTGACGACTTCAACACGATAGCCAGAGGATTTGCAGGATGAGGCAACACAAACTCAACTAGGTAATGATATTCGAGAGTGTCTGCACAGATAATGCAAATTTCTCAAATAACTTCACACGAACCCAAAGTTCGCTACAACTTAACTTTATCTAAAGAAGATTTAGAAGGTGTCATTCCTTATCAAGACGATCTCATCATGATCTTAAGCATCCTGATGAGCAAGAACTTCCACCGAATCCTCATTGACCAAGGAAGCTCGACGGATGTTATGTACTGGGACACGTTTGTCAGCTTAGGAATCCCGATGGATACCCTACGACCTTTCAAGGGAGTGCTAGTCAGTTTTGCGGGAGACCAGGTAAAGGTTTACGGGTACATAGAGTTGCGAACAATATTTGGCACTAGCGACACTACGATGGTTAAATACCTAATAGGCAATGAACTGGTCGAAAAATGTCAAGCAATCAAAGAGGAAACCTAAAGATTACTCAATGTGGTCATATCTGAGAGATACAATATCCAACGTGGCTATCCAACATCGTCATGATAAAAAAGAGCTCGAGAAAATGTCGAATGTGCATTGAATTCACAAAGCTAAACAAAGTGTGTTCAAAGGACTCGTACCACCTCTCAAACGTAGAAAATCTTGTGGAAGGGGCATCTG